TGTGTTTGGGGGGGGAAGGGCATCTTTCAGGTGACATGTTGGGCTGTGAAATCTCCTGTGCTTTTCCAGTCAAGGAAACAGTGAGCTCCTTGTGGGCTTGGATGAAACAATCATCCTCAAACAAACAAGCCACACGAGACTGGAAGTGACACATCACACCTGCATCTCAGGTGGCAGGAAAATGCAAGCAACTGACCGTGTAAATTATTCTCCGACCAGGCGTTTAGAGTGCCATCGCAGACACACTTACGTATCATGGCCAGGTTCATGATACCCCCCGAAAGAGCTTGTCTGGAGGAATGAAAGCATCTTAGGAATGAGGCCAAAAAAATATAAGCCTCCTTAGCCGGGGAAGCAGGTTAGGTTTCAGTACAGAGACAGCTCCAAGTCAACTGGTGATTTGCTTCTGCAAATTCCATAAATGAGACTCGGGTTCCTCTAGGGGAGATGATTTTGGCTCAACCCAACTCTGTCATGTTGCAGCACAGATCATTTGCCTCAAGCTGCTGCTGATAGGTGATTACGGCAGGTCAAAGATGTACAGTATGTATAACTCTATGAATATACAGTATGTATAACTGTATAACTTCCAGTTGAAGGGATTCAAGCCCACTGCCTGTGTTGACTCATTGACTGGTTCAGAGCTTCAGTACATGGAACAAGGTTATGGGGTTTTCTGCTGGCAGTGTTTCAGCTTTTACTTTCTCTCCCTGCAGGTTCATGGAGAAATCCAGAAAGAATATTAGTTTTTAAAATATGTAACTCCCTTTGTTTCCAGGTTGCCTCCAAGAGAGCCTTCGGTGCTGAATTATAAATTACACCTCAGTCAAGGGCAGGTGAGGGAGAGGCTGCAAAGCATGATTCCTTGTGTCTTTCAGAAGAATTGCCTAAGGACTGGAGAGAGTGTTAATCCCGTGTTCCACGAAGATGATTTAAACCAGGAAAGAGAGCCAGGTTTAGCCAGGTGTATGTTGCAGGTTCTGGCACCAGTATATGTTTTTCATTGCTTCTTCCATCAAGGAGTTTCACATGTCATACATACAACTGGGCAATCAGAGCAGAATGTTTTACATGGTCCAAGAACTGAATGTGAATGTTTTTTTTATAACTCATTAAAATGCTTACAGCAGCGTTCTTCAAACCACTGCCTTCCATACTGGTGGACAATAATTCCTACTGGTGAGAATTTAATCATATGGGAGACTGTCACATAGGAAGGATTGTTATTCATGATGAGAAGCATCCACAGGAATTAATCTTAGAACGAATAGCAATGGTTCTCAAATGAAATAATAATAAGACTAGCATAAGCAATGGCTCTATTTTGGCAAAGGTCAAGTTTGCATCTTCTCTTTTTAAACCTTGGGAAATTGCACCCTGAGCAATATGTACATAGGTTTCTGATCAAAGAAAGCTGGAAACAGTCATTTCTATTTCTAATTACTATTGGCTGATTTATCAGTTGGGACCCTGTGATACATACCGGTAAATGAAATGAAATAAAATAAAACAAATAACATATTGCTCAGGGTGCAATTTCCCAAGGTTTAAAAAGAGAAGATGCAAAATTGACCTTTGCCAAAATAGAGCCATTGCTTATGCTAGTCTTATTATTATTTCATTTGAAACAGCATTTCAGTAGGAAACTCAAAAAGATTGTTGTATCTTTTCATCCTATCTGTTGACCACTTGAAAGCATCTGGCTGGCATCTGACTGGCCTTAAAAAAGAGTGCCAGACAAAAATGACCTTTGCTCTGATGCCATCTGACACTTTCTTTAAACCCAGGTTCTCTTGTGTATTCTTAGAGCTATTCCTTACTTAGTTCTGCTGACTCACAGCTGATAACTAGACAAATATGAAGGGGCTCTTATACTTTTGCGAATCTGATTCAGCAAACCTGGAAAGCTCTCGATGACTCCAGCCGTTCTTTGGAATTATGAAATGTTTAATGAATTGCGAAACGCCATTCTGATTAACTCGTTTACACTTGGACTTTTGCCTTATTTAAATATCCTGAAGTTTGGGTTCACTGTCACTTTTATCTCTTGGCCCTCTTCCTCTCTGTATTACATAAGCTTGGTGCTCAAAACGAAACGAAACGAAACAAAACTAGGTGAAGGTTCTCCCACCAACTGGAATTATCCGTTCCAGCGAATTCAAAACAGTGTCTGTACATCGATCACTGCCACTGCCTCTGAATGTTGTGCTCACAACACTCCTGTAACAGAGGCTGAGACTTAGAGAAATCCGTTCAATCTCATCCTTTTGTCTGGGTGGGGTTTTGAATGTATTGCCGTGATCTCCCCATCAGAAAATAATATGTAGTTGGTCATGGTCTATTTTAATACCCAAGAGTGGATACCTGGTAGAACTGTCAGCCTAGAAATGCAGATCTTAAGTACATTATATGGATATAGAAATGCAGTCATAAATAGATACAGGTAGTCCTCAACTTATGACTTAGTGTCCTTCTGAAGTTACGACGGACCTCCCCCAAAAGTACTTCTGACACGATTTTGAAATTCCAATGGACACACACACCAGTCATGTGATTGCATTTTGGACACTTGGAAACTAGCTCACCTTTATGGCCATTTCCAGCATCATATAACGGTGTTTTCCAATTATGGCTGCAAGTCGAGAACTACTTGTAAAATAAATCTGCACTGCCAACAGCAATGGAACTTGGGCTGCCAGAATTCACCTCCTTCATAACATCAGAGCATAATGTCTAGAAATGATACAAGGTTTTGTCTCCTTGAATTTTATAATTACTTGAGTTCGGCGAAACTGTTCAGCCACTTTGGGACTAAATCATAATACTCCTGGCTGTCATTAGAACGTGGTTTTTTTTAAAGCTGAAAAGCAAGTTACAATTCCTAATCATATATTTACCCCCCCCCCAAAAAAAAACAAAAACAAAGGACAAATGCTTTGCAAGACTCCTATGTCCATTATAGACTGAGACTTTAGGGTATTATGATATCTTTGGAGGGCAACAGACTGGGAGAGATATCTTTATGACAGTTTTTGAAAGTTAATTCATGAGCACTTCAAAATAAAACTGCTATTTCTAAAAGAACAAGGGTATATCGGTAGTCCTCGACTTATGACTATAATCGACTTGCTAAGTGAATTTTGCCCTATCTTATGACTTTTCCGGCCACAGTTGTTAAGTGAATCACTGTGATTGTTAAATCAGTAACAGGGTTGTTTAAGTGAACCTGGCTTTCCCATTGACTTTGTTTATCAGAAGGTTGCATAAAGAGGATCACACGACCCTGGGACACTGCAACCGTCATAAATATGAGCCATTTGCCAAGTGTCTGGACTTTGATCACATGGCCACGGGGATGCTGCCATGGTGGTAAAAACAGTCCTAAGTCACTTTTTTCAGTACCGTTGTAACTTCAATTGGCTGTAAGTCGAGGATTATTTGTATTGTTTCCTATCTTAGAGCTCATCTCCACACCATGATTTGTGTGCATGCTAGAGCTTAAGCACCTTTCCTCTTTCTTTCAGCACTTAAACAACTTAAATTCAGGATTGGCAGTTTTAGGATTTATACTAAGGCCCTACCCAAAAATTACCTTTGAAAAGGGCCTGTTGAGGCAACTACCAGAAAATCAAGACTGGAGAGCATTCCAGCTCACTTGGTGAGGGAAATTTTCACAGTACCATTGGCACGTGGAATTCCCACTTTGTGCAACCGGACACAGAAACCCATAGCTCAAATGATCCAGACTGATTATTTTCCTTGTCTATGAAGATTCTCAGTCATCTAGGTCATGGCTGTCCCCAAGGTGCTTTTTCAAAAGGCCAACTGGACTTTGTTTTTCCTTGAAGACGTTTCGCTTCTCATCCAAGAAGCTTCTGGGATGAGAAGTTAAACATCCTCAAGAAAAAAAAAGTTCAGCTGACTTTGGAAAACGCACCTTTGGGATATCATTCTCCTGCCTTTTCCACCATGCTTAGGAATACACTAATGTTGAAATGATAAAGAAACAGCAAAACAACAGAACTGCATTACATCCTTCAGCAACCCAAGATGGTGGGGTGAGGAACTGTGCCAGCTCATTTAATAACATCGGTTCTCTTAGTTTTGCTCCCCATTTCTGTCAGTGGAGCAAAAGCTAATGACCACTCAGTGCACTTGTTTGGACTGGAAAAGACTGGAAATATCTGTGAGGGTGTCACTCAGTGAATAAATATTTAGATTTAATTTATGTAAATGCTTCGATTTAAAAATTTATTTCCATCAAAATCTGAGAGGCTGTTTTGCTGCGAGCTGATTCTTTTCAGTACGAAGAACCAGCAGACCAACTATAGTCACAATTATAATCCATGAATTCCTCAGGAGCTGAGCTCAAACTGAAGAAGAATTTAACCTCAGTTTAATTATAACGATGTTTTGCTTACCTTCAACTTCGACTCCATGTCAGTCGACTCTCCACCTGGAATGGATCCCCGAAGAAGGAAAAGACAAAATCCCAGGTTGTTTTCTGCCTTGGCAAAGTGTATCCATGCCCAAAATGGCCAGGCTGATCTGGAGAGTTTCGGCCTTCCTTTGGGAAGAGGAGTGATGCCTGATCCTACAGTCTGATTAATCTGCATGCAGGAGAAAACAAGACATGTTGAAATCTTTTTTTCAAATGAGCCCTAGCTGCCCTGGCGATGCACGTGGGATCACCTAATGGCAGTATTAAAATACCAGAGAAATGACTGTAACCTGTCAAGCAGCATTAGCTATCCCAAGGAGTGAGCTGGATAGTGGTGAGGAATAAGGCGTGTTCATTAAGCTACTTTGATGGATGCCTTTTCATCCTGACAGATGATTGATTGTCATACTAGGCCAATGCAACGAAATGGGCCTCTTGTAGTAGAAAGGAAGGTAGGTAAATAGGTAGGTAAGTTTTCAGATAAGTGGGAAGGAAGGGAGGGAGGGACTGACTGCCTAAATTGTTACCCATAGTGTTGCAAATTGGGGTATTTACTTACCTTCATGGTCTGTATAGAAATTTAGAACTAACCTCGGGGAAAGAGAAGGTATGAGTGAACCAGTAAGAGGGGAAGGAGGGAGGGAGGGAAATTGTCAGAAGAAATCATAATGTAGTTCTTTCCTCCTTTCCAAAAATAATAAAAACCTCTTTAATAATCAGCTTTCAACATTCCTTTTCATGCCCAAAATATTCCTATTAATTTGCTGTTTAGAATATTTTCTCTTTCTTACAGATACCTAGAAAGCTGGTTTTTTTGGCCCTGAGGCCAAGGTTAGAAAGAGAAGGAGCAAAAGGAAGGGTAATAGAGACAAGAAGCATTAAAAAAAATAGACCAAGTAAAAAATGGGAGACGCAATTAAGCTCTTCTCTGTAAACATTAATGGTTTAAATCTACCAAGAAAAAGAGTACAAACGTTTAACAAATTAAGGAAATTGGATGCAGATGTGATATGTCTTCAGGAAGGTCATATAAAAAAGGATTATAGAAAATTACTAGAGAATGTAAAATTAGGAACACTATGCACAACATTAGCGCAAAACAAGAAAGGAGGAATTGCTATATATGTCAAAGAAAAAATAAAATCAAAATTAATATATTCGGATGAAGAGGGGAGAATTTTAATGTTGGAAATAGAATTAGAGCAAAAACAAATCTTATTCACGGCAGTATATGCACCAAACAATAATCAACATGGAGTTACATTTTAACTACTATCCAATTATATATATATAAAAAAAAAGTTTGAAAAAGATGATCTGAGGGAGCACAAGCACCTTCAAGTAAAATAGGTGTTTGTCACTTTGCATATTTTCCGGGTGTGGGCGTCGAAAAGATTCATTGCTACAAATATGAGGTATTAAACATAGAGTTTATTCTCGACTTTTAAGGTTATTATTATTATTATTATTATTATTATTCTGAACTCCTCTCTGTTCATCCTGGGCGCATCCCCGTGCGGTTTCCACGGCAACGGGCCCAAAGCGCGGGAAAAGGACCAAAGCGTCTCGAGCGGCCCGCGCAAGCGCACTCTAACATTCCAAACGAATAAAGAGGCGGGGAGATTGCTCCGCCCTTCATCCGTCCGCCTTGGAAAAAAACTCGAGCGGCTCCATTCATTCCGACTACGACAAAAGGCGGAGCCAACGCGTCAACGGCATGGGCGTCGCTCTAGCCCGCCCTCTGCGGAGCTCTATGGCAACTGGCCTAAACCTTTCTTCCCTCGGTTTTTCCACCCTGGCCTGCCGGAAGTGCCCTTCCCTCCCGCCGGAACCGGAAGTGGCGAGAAGCAGGGAAGCCGGCCTCTAGTTGGGCCTGCCCTGGGCAGCCATCTTGGAGGGTCGCGGTGGCCGGAGTTGGGGAGCCGCGTCGGAAGGAGACAAGGCGCCGCTGCCGCCGGGTTGAGAAGCTGTCTCCGGCGCCAGCTGCCCTCCTTCCCCTTCCCCCGCCCCGAGCCGGAGGACCCGAGCCTAGCAAAGAGAGGTAAGGGCTCGGAGCCGGGGGACCCTTTTGTTATTGAGTGCCGGACTACTGGCCCCATGGTGCTGGCTCCCGTCGGGGTCAGCCTTGAGCTGCCTTAGCAAGGCCGGGGGTGGGGGGGGAATATTTCCCTCTTACTCGCTCTCCTCCGGGGGGGGCTGGTAGTTCGTGGGGGGTGGGGTGGCCGAGATCAGCTATAAGGGATGAATCCCGGAACCGGGTTGGGCAGGTTGTGTGAATGCAGCCGGGCGGGGCTCCTGATGGGGGAAGCCGAACACGTGGAGGCGAAACGGCTCCTGGGGAGGTGACGAGGACCCCCCCCCCCGCTCCGCCTAGCTTCGGTTTTTGCTAGCTGGGGTTTCGGGTTGCTGACTTCCCCACCGAGAGGCAGATGCTGAAACTCCCCATAATCCCCCCTAATTCCCGGCTAACAGCTGGGGCTTCTGGGACTTGTGGTTGTGGTCTCCTCTGGCTGTCATAAAGCTATTTTATATCCCTAGACAAGCATCTGGGGGGGTGGCAGGGATGGCGGGGGGTGGGGGGGCAGGCAGGCAGGCACTTGGCAAAGGCAGCCAGTAAGATGAATGAATGGCCTTGGCTTGACATACTGTGCTAAACTAAGCTGGAGCTTTTGGTTTAGTGGCTCAGCTAAGCTATTGTGGCTTATTCACTGAGCTATCTCTTAATTGATTTATTTGACTTACACGCCTCCCGACTCACACAATAACTTTTGGCGGCTCACGGTTGGTTGCGTAGAAACACGGAAACCAAAGGAGTCAAAAGAAAACCCAGCAAGCATCTGGAACCGAAGAACAGAACGGCAGCGGAACAAAATAAAGGCCACCTGTTGTACAGTCCATTCAAAAGCCTTTCCTTCTGGATAAGTTCCCTCTATCCAGGTGATCGGGGGGAAGAACGACGCTTTTAGGCTCCTGACAGGAGGTGACTCTGTTTCAGAGAAGGGGACCCAAAGCCAGAGCTCACAGGATGAGCTGGGAGAGTTGGAGACAGGCAGTAACCTGGCCTTGTGCCACGAAGGGCTTTACTGAATATTAAATCTCAATCTTGAATTAAACTTGCCAATTGCTAGGGAGCCTGTGGAACTCGGAGTGCACAAGTGTTACGTGTGTACCAAGGTGTAGCTATAATTAGTTGCGCTGCTGCATTCTGGAACAGTTGCAGCTTCTGGGTGGCTTTCGAGGGCCTTCCCATATTCAGATCACAAGTGACCATAAGGAACAATTGCTGGAATTGGGTATGTCTAGTCTAATGAAGAGAAGGACGAGGGGGAGCATGATAAGCAGTGTTCCAATATCTCAGGGGCTGCCTCAAAGAAGAGGGAGTCAAGCTATTCTCCAAAGCGCCTGAAGGCAGGACAAGAAGCAACGGATGGAAACTAATCAAGGAGAGAAGCAACCTGGAACTAAGGAGAAACTTCCTGACAGTTAGAACAATTAACCAATGGAACAACCTGCCTCCAGAAGCGGTGAATGCTTTTAAGAAGAGACTGGACAGCCATTTGTCCGAAATATTGTAGGGTTCCCTGCCTGAGGAGGGGGTTGGACTTGATGACCTCCAAGGTCCCTTCCAACTTTATTATTATCTGGATCATCGCACAGTCAGCCAGATGTTCAGACTGGATTTGGCATTTTGTCTACCTATCGAGTCCTTACCAAGGACCTGGGATAGGCAGATGTGGATGTTGGATGGTATTACAGATATCATCGCAGGATGGAAGCAGTTCCTAGTAAGGCTGCCTTTTGCAATTGACCAATGGCGATTTTTTTATTGTTGTTGTTATTATTATTATTATCTGACACATGAGATAACGGCCCTCTAGTCACAACTGCCCTGTGGTCCTCCAGCAGAAGCCCGAAATTGAAGATCCCTAAACTGCATCTCGGTTCGGATTGTGGGAGTTCTGCCCCATCCAGAAGTACCGTAAGAGAATCCCCCAAACGCAGCACACTCAAAACCTGCAGCTGTTTGGGTTGAGCCAAAGCTTATTTCTCACTAACCAGATCCCCACAGCCTCCAGTCACTAGGAAGGAATCTTAAGTTTGCCTCGGGTGGAGTTGTATACTGATTTTCATTGACTTGGTAATAGACATTCAACACAGTCTAAAGCAGTTTCTGAAAGGTGTAGATTGTCCCAGTTAATAGCTGCAAATCCATTTTGTCTGATGTAACCTTGTTTAACCTTTCTGATGTAACCTTGTTTAACCTTTCCTCCTTCATCTGGGTCACCATTCCAGTCTGGCTGTCACATTGGGCCTGGTGCTGTCCATCTCCTCTTGTTTGTCCCCAGCCTCTGTCCTTTGAGCCTTTGCTCACTGGGAGAGACCAGTTCTCTTTCTGGAAAAGCTATCAAAACTTAGAATTAAGGAGAAATTTCCTGATAGATAGAACAATTAATCGGCGGAATGACTTGCCTCCAGAAGTTGTGGATGCTCCAACACAGAGGTTGTTTTTTTTTAAAGAAGAGATTGGACAACCATTTATCTGAAATGGTATAGGGTCTCCTGCTTGAGCAGGGGGCTGGACTAGAAGACCTTCAAGGTCCCTTCCAACTCTGTTATTTTGTTGGAAGAAGGTCATGGCTTCCTTGTTAGATTGGACCAGTAGCAGAGAACCGCAGAAATGAGAAGTGGGGAGGAAGTGCAGGGTGCCCCAGATTAGCTCGACCTGCCAGCATGGTGGAGTAATCCCAAATTATTTTCTTGCGAAATGCAGTAGGCCCTCTCTAAGAAATTCTCCATTTCTCACAAGGAAAATTATCTTGTGGAATTAAGCCAAGCCTCTATTTAACAAGGCAGCCTTTTTTTCTTCTGCGGAAAACGTCCCCACCGCTAATAGTCCAAGACTCTTGTTATTGGAAATTAAACTGGCAGGCTTTTTGTGCCAGGGAAAAGAATTAATACATTATTATTATTATTATTTGGGGTGTGTTTGTATCTAAGCACAGCAGAGAGTTTCTTTCTTCCCCCTAACAGTCCCGTGAGACTGATTTGTGCCTCTTGTTTCCTAGAGTCTACTTCAGCTCCCTTGTGACCTCCAGATTTAGTTATTTGTACGTATGATTCAGCTGTACCTAAGCAAGGAGCTGGTGAGATGAACTGGATTTTGCCTTCCATCATCCTTAGTCAACCAAGGTCATGGTGGAATTTCCTAGCTTGGTAATTCTGGAAGGTACCTGGATGAGAATAGGAATTGATCCAGGCAAAAGTGGGAAGCAAACAGATTTGGGGCAAGTTTCATACAAAGTTGAAATGGTATTTGGATCCAGTTTGCAAGCGCAGAGCAGTGATGGAGAGGAGGGATGTAGTGATGTAACAGGGATGGAGAAGAGCTCAGTGTGTTTAAACCAGAAGGGGTTTTATTTAGGGTTTTATCCAAATGAGGCTCTCAGCTTGCCTTTAGGTGGCTCCTGGATGAAGGGGAGCAAATTATTTTTATGACTATTACCCTGGTGGGAGGGAAATTGTTTCTATGACCGCTGTCTGATTAGAAGGATCAAGCGATCATATCGATTGGTTGATTAGAAGGAAATAACTCGTCCTGATTAGGTTAGCACTGTCAGCTCTTGACACGAGGCTGTTTTTTACAGTTTCCTAGCTTGCTTGCAATAGTTATTCCAACAGAAAGTTTAAAAGGTGAATTTCTGTCTCTTCCTTTGCATTTTCTTTTTAAAAATCCTAAGATTGTTTTGGTCAGTCTTTGGACCCGTAGTTGTACGATCTTTCACCGAAACACGTGAAGCCTGTTCCTCGTCCCTCTGCAAATGTTAAAAAGAAATGGGCTTGGTTTGGCTTAGAAATAATCTCCGGGCTCTTTTGCCAACCGAAGGAAAGTGCACTGCAGTTCTGGGTTGCTTCTGGTGTCTACCAAACATTTGCCTTCTTCCCCAAAGCTGGTACAGCACGCCAAGATGCTATTGGGACTGCAGCCCCCCCCCCCCAATTTTTCTGGCCAGGTTCAAAGGAGGATTTTTGGAGTGGGCGATGCTTGAGTTCTTATTGATGCTTGAATGTCTCCTGGTCTTTGTGGCGACACTGATCCAGTTTTCTTTCACGCTTTGAAAGGAGTTTTGAAAGGAGTTCTAGCAGAGAGGGGTCCACGGAGTTATTGACCATCCAAGCAAATGTTTCTAGTAGGTTGTGTGAAGGTGGGCAGAGCCCTGTGTAACTCTGAAAACTCAGCCTGGCTGCCCTAAGCAAACATTGGAATGGTGGCAGTGGAGCTGGAATGACAGCAATTAAAACTTTTATTTACCCTAACCGCTTTGAGGCGGTTGGCTGTCGGCTTCTCTTGAGCTCCTGGAGCCTAAAATTCTTTGAATTGGTTGTTCAATTGTGCGTCTCCCCTTTCTGCCTCCAGATGAGCAACTCCAGCAACAAGCGCGCCCCTACCACGGCCACCCAGCGACTCAAACAGGACTATCTGCGCATCAAAAAAGATCCAGTGCCTTATATCTGTGCTGAGCCTTTACCATCCAATATCCTTGAGTGGTAAGAATTGGGAGGGGGTGTGTGTGAACCTGAAAGGCATCAGAGATTGAACCTCCTTAAAGCAAGAATGGGGAAAAAAAGTGGTAGGGACGTTCTCTAGCAGGGCCCCCCGGGCCAGGGCTGTGGAGTCGGAGTCGGAGTCAATTTTGGGTACCTGGAGTCGGAGTCGGCAAACAATGCACCGACTCCGACTCCTACTAAATTTAGATTGGAATTTAAAAAAAAAGCAAGTTTAAATGTCCCAATTCACAAAAAGTTATAATTAATGACTTCTCTACTGTAAGAATAAAGACCAATGCATGCAGTGCCTCACGTAACCGCAAAACGAACACGTTAAGTGACCGCAAAGAAGCATGCTTTTCATGTGCTTCACTATATGGCACGCAACGCACAATTAGGAGCGGCAATACTTATGCTTTCCATAGTGTTGTGTTCTGCTGTTACAGGGAACGCAGCGCCCATGGGTAACCTAGCCTCTCACTGATAAGGGATTAAGTAAATATGTTTTTTGCAGGACTAGAGACACTTGTATAAGTGAAGGGAATGGAGGGTCAATAGACTGAAGCTGTAAACCATTGGAAAAACTGCTGTCATTCAGCTAAGGCTATAAAAACGTGTAAACTCCGATTGTTAGCTTATTAATACAGAGGAGTCAGGGAGTCGGAGTCGGAAGTACAAAAAACTGAGGAGTCGGAGTCGGAACATTTATCTACCGACTCCACAGCCCTGCCTGAAAGGCATCATTGATTGAACCTCCTTAAAGCAAGAATGGAAAAAAAAGTGGTAGGGACGTTCTCTAGCTGGGCACCCCCGGGCTGCAGCCCACTAACAGCCTGTGGCCTGTTCAGAATTGGGCTGCACGAGTGGCTAGCCGCAGCGCACGTATGCATGCACGCACGCAGCTCAACTTGTGCGAGCAGTGAGCTGGCAGACACTTGCACACGTGTGTGCCAGCCACCGTTCGTGCAAAGGTCGGGGAGCGTTGCTCTAGAGGCTAAAATTCCTGATCTGGCTCACTTTTCCCATAGTCTCACCAGCCACTTAGTATTTTTCGCACTGTTGGAAGTTGGGAGTATTACTTAACCGTGCCTTTTAAGAACATCTCTTCTTCCTTTCTGTTAATAAACTCCCACCTCCACTAACGGTGAAATTTGCAGATCAATCTGCAGACCTAGCAAGAAGAAACCGGGAAGCAGACATGATAAATAACGGCAGTCAGAAATAATAGCGGGATTTAGAAGTAAGGCTCTGATATAACAAGGTCTTCTTCGTGGGCATCGGGTGCAACAGAGCAGATTTCCATCTGGGGATCTTCTGAAAGGACAGGACACCCTCATTCCTCACTTCTAGATTCGAAACATGACCTGTGTAATATACTTGTGTTTTGTTTGTTTGTTTTTGTAGGCACTATGTTGTACGTGGACCTGAAATGACACCCTATGAAGGTAAATCATAGTTTAGCAGCATGAGCCTTCCTCGTGGAGTTTTGTTGAGATCATCACCCACATGTGTTATTTAGTCTTGCTTGGAAACAAAGAGTTCTGGGTGGTTTGTTTTTTTTCCTGTTCTCCTTGTTTGCTATTTTTATATGCATGTGTGTTTGGTATATATCATAGAATCCTATGTACTTGGTCAAGAAAGCATCAACTTCCAAAATTTATTTCCAGGAATGTTTGTAGATGCCAGATGAGATTCAGATGCTTATTGAGAGAATAAAAAGGGCGATGGGCTGGAATCTAGAATTGCTAGCATCGTAGGAGGATAAAGGAGATGGCCAAAATAACTCATGAGGCAGGAGTTGTTTTATCTACATATTTCAGAGGGCTTTCTCCTTCTCATCAAGTTGCTTGTAACAAAAAGGGCCCCACAGTTAAATCCAGAAGTTCTCTCCTCAAACAGTTCGGTAACTCCTTTGGACAAGGTGATTTGCTGTGAAATTTAAAAAAATGTTCTCTTCCCGCTATTCCTGTTTTAGGTGGCTACTACCATGGGAAGTTAATTTTCCCCAGAGAATTTCCTTTCAAACCTCCAAGTATTTATATGATCACACCAAATGGAAGATTTAAATGCAATACAAGGTAAGATCTTTGCTTAATATTTCCTGGTCTTTTCTCGGCCAGTGATTTGATTCCCCTCTCGCTGTTAAGGACACGGGAAATATTTCACTAGCGACGTCTCTTGAGCTTGTGGTACCATGTTTTGAAGTAAACCAGCATCTTCGCTTTGAACGCGATTGCTTCAGCCCTGCTTCTTCTCGGTTGTCTTGGATATAGAGTTGGCGCTACAATTGACCCGCAGGTTTCTGTTGGCTAAGCTAGCCGGTTGTTAAGTGAGTTTTGCTCCATTGTACGACCTTTGTCGTCGTTAAGCAAAATCGCTGCAGTTGTTAGATCACGCGGTTGTTAAGCTTCCCTATTAATTTGCTTGTCAAAAGGTCGCTGGAAATGAATCACAAATGGTGATCAGATGACCCGGGCAGTGCAGCCGCCATAATTAACATGCCAAATGCTTGAATTTTGATCACGTGGCTGGGGGCGCGGCAACATCTGTAAGGGTGAAAAACAATCGTGTGTCACTTTTTTCAGGACCATGGTGGCTTCAAACGATCTGGGAAGGGTAATTCAGACACGTCTGGAAACACTCTTAAATTTCACTCAGGCTTTACCCCAGGCCTGTAGTGACAGTTCCGCGAAGGAACCTCCGGTTTTGCTTAATTTGGTTAAGAAGAGTGGAAGCGTTCATGGCATTCAAAAAAAATTCTTGTCCTGGTAAACACGCTCTGTCTCTCTGCTGTGACTAAGCTTCGGGTTTTCTGCTTTGTTTTGTAGGTTGTGTCTTTCCATTACTGATTTCCACCCCGACACATGGAACCCAGCTTGGTCAGTCTCCACAATCTTGACAGGCCTTCTTAGTTTTATGGTTGAAAAAGGCCCCACTCTGGGCAGTATAGAAACGACAGAATTTACGGTGAGTCTCTATGGCTGGCTGCCATTTTCTTCACTGCCGATTAAAAAAATCGGCCGCAAAGGAATCCGCAGGGAGAGAATAACGGGACTCTTGGTTTCATTTCCATTCAAATGGCAACGCCAGCCTGACTTTTCTCTTCTCTTCTTGCTCCGTCAGAAGAGGCAACTGGCTTCGCAGAGTTTAGAATTTAACGTAAAAGACAAGGTCTTTTGTGAATTGTTTCCTGACATGGTGGAGGTAAGTGACAGGCTAGTTTTTCCCTTGAGCGATATTTCCAATTATTGGGGGGGGGGAGCTTAGTTATACTGGGTCATTTTTTGATTTGGAGATGTCCACCACTCCAGGGCAACATTTGCTTCACCTAGAAATCCAGCCCATTCTTGTGAAAAGGCTCTTGTTGTATCACAACCTGAGCCCATTTCCAGCCTCATCTTAGTGTCTGTGGCTTGCTTGTGAGCAATAATCCCATTAGAGAATGAGCTTAGACATCTCTATAGTGGAAGTCTCTTTGGTTTGGGAACCTTCCACCTGCATAAAAAGGAGCTTGTCATAGGGGAAAATCTAAGATCTTGGGTTTTGCCAGAAAAAAAATAGGAACCTCCCATCTGAAAGCTGAAAAGGTTTAGTTCAAACCCAGACTGGTGAAACTAGTTCCATCTTGAATAGACTTTGGTTTGCTTCATTGAAAGAATTTCACCATGGCGTGGCCTCCATTTGATCACTTCCTGCTGTCTCTCCTGCCCTTCTTGGCTTCTCCAGGAAATCAAGCAGAAACAGAAGGCACGAGAAGATCTCCACAGCCGGCCAACGACTCTCCCGCTTCCGGATGTCATCCCTGACGGGGAAGCTCATCATGGCCAGAACGGCCTGCCAATTCTTAACGGGCACCCGCCTTTGGCTGCAGCTAACAACCCCCTTGGCCTCCAGCAAGCTAACCGCCATCATGGACTCCTGGGTGGAGCTTTGGCAAACTTGTTCGTTATAGTGGGCTTTGCGGCTTTTGCGTATACAGTGAAGTATGTCTTGAGGAGCATTGCGCAGGAGTGAGACGCTCTGGAGTTCTCCTTCTCCTTCCAAGTCTGGGTTCTGAGACCAAAATAACAGTAGTGGCAGGAAGGAAACAAAACATTTGGGACTCTGTGGGTCTCGTACTCCCGACTGTGGGGCTAACTGCTGTGATGTGTACAGGGTTTCCTTTTTTTTTTTTTTAATTACTGGTTTGGCTCATGGAATTAGTTTTGTTGGAAGGGAGGGAAAAACCCTGTTTGGGATTGAAAAGGATGTGATGGGATGGAGGAAGGAAGAGGACAAACACACTGTCTCCCAAGAAAAGAAGAAGAAGAAGAAAAAAATCCCTTTCTGAAACAGGTAAATTGTAGGATCTAAATTTACCGGCCTGCAAAATCCCTGTGTTTCGTTTTTCTTTTCTTTTTTTCAGAGCACTATGAATCAGTTCTAACATCTTGGAGTTTTTGAGAAGTTGGGCAGAGGCATCCACTTTAAGGCAACATGGGTTTTTTTGGCGATAGGAAGATGGGGTGGGAGAGCATGGGCAGTCCATGCCTGTTTTAATACGGATGGGTAGATCTCTCAGAAAAGGAGGGTAGAGGAATAAGGAGCGCTCTTGTTTCCTTAAGAGATCCCCTTAGATCACCTCGCTTGACGTGCTGGTGTTTGCTGCTGAACGGGTTCCCAAACTGAGCAGATGTTTGGATGAACGCTAGATCCTCGAGGCAGCATTTTACATACTACGCTTGCCCGATGCCAGAGAGTGAATTTACAGTTCTTTTAAAATAAAGTTTGGAGTGAGGGTAAGCATAAAGCTTTTTGAGCCACCCCAACAAAGTTAGAGGAGTTTTGGTGCTAACAGACACAGCCTGGGTTTACGCAAGAGAGAAAACTTTTCCACTCTCCCACGCAACCACAAGGGTACAGTGGCCTGAGTAACAGTGTGTGTTTTAAAGCAGGCACGTTCTTTGCCCAACTCATCACAATGTGCAGTTTTTCTTCTTATAATTCTGGCCCAATTAAAAACGTGCCCAATTGCTCTTTAAAAGAGAGAGGCAGGACAATGGCCAAATCTTACCAGCTTTTGTTGGCCTTTTGATCAGCATTTAAAAAAAAAAAAAAAAAATTGTCAAAGTTTGATGTTCTGTCTTCTTTTCTTTCAAAAGCACCCCGTTTGATGACTTGAGGTTGCAATCATGTTATGTTTTATAATTCATCTCCAGGTTTTGCTGCTAAGGAGAAGGGGAATGAAAGAGTCAAGCCTCAGAGACGATGGTCTGGGAGGGATTTTTTCAATAAATTCCTTCTGTGTTTGATACCCGTCCTCTTCCCCCCCCCCCCCCATTAGTGCTATGCTTTGTCTTGCAGTTAATCAGCTCCAGTTGAAGGTATCTTTCTAAAGCAGGGATCACTCAAAAGCTAGGACCTCAAGAAGGTTGATTTAACTTGCTTTACAGGACAAGTTAAACAGATAAATGTTCTGGGGCGAAAAACCTACTTATTCTCAACCAGAACAGCTGGACCTTTACATTCCCCATTTTGGGGCAGGGAAAGAGACCCCACAGTTGTGCTTCTGGGATTAGTGTGATGTTTTGCCCATCCAGCTTATCTGGCTAAAATAAATACCTTCCCATAGCCAAAAACAAAGAAAAAGAGAAAAAACAAGCTAAGCCCAACCCATTTAGTGTGGTTTTCCTGTTATTAGACCCCCCCTCCATTGGTATTGCCAAGGTTGAAAGTATGTCTTTTTAAGCTTTCCCTTCGTTCAAAGTTATTTTAAAGATGAGATTTCTGCTTTTTGTTCAAAGTTTTGAGTTACTGGTTTTATTCCTTTTTTTGTATAGGTTTTTTTTTTTCTGGAACCCATGCACAAAACAAATTGGAAATGTTGACTTTATGAAATGATATGGAGTATTGACTGGGGAAAAGCAACCAGAAAGGATTAATTAAATCCATAAGCTGTTTAACTTAAATGAAGAGTGAATATCTGCTTTTGACCAATTTCTCTGCCAGTAGGTGTGGTTTAGTTGTAACTCTCCCAATAGCTCTATCAGTGAACAAACGTTTATTAAAACCTCGTTGTCAGCGTGTGAATGGGAGAGAGGACTACAATAGACAATAATTTTAAGAAAGCCTTCTCAGTATGCCAGACGCTATTGTGGATTACATCTCCCATCATCCTGGGCAACAGGGATCTAGGACAAATTGGGGAAGGGTATTTGGGGAGACTGATTTAAAATACGTATTTCCATTTTTAGAAATACTTCAGGGATTGTGTGATAGTCTCCCGCCTCTCTGTCTTTCGATGAAATTTTGTTTGTGATTTTTTTTTCCTCTTCAGCTTGGTCCATGTTTTGCACCCACGGTTGTCACAAGATCTTAATGTACATATGCAAAGGCATTTCTTTCTACTTGAAAAAAAAAGAAGAAGCATAGGTCACATACTATACCTTAAAGGGGTGGGGTGGGAAAGAGGCTTGTTCAATGGACGTGACTTGGTTCACTTATGGGGCTAAGCTTGGGTTTGTTTAACCATAGTTTGTTGAATAAATCACTGTCTGAGTTCACTTGTGCTCAATTGGGTGTGGTGGCTTATAAGCTGCACTGATGGAGTTCACACACGTGTTTGACTTTCCCATGAAAGAGCTAGCTTAAATCGGCTTAATGAATTAATTGGCTGGCTGGCTGGCCAAAGTGGAGTTTAGATGTACGTTAAGTGCATGTTTGTGGATGAGAAAAGAATGATGACAGGTGAGAAATCTTGTTGTTTTTTTTAATCCAAGAATATTCGGTTGGTCAATTGCAGAAGAATATTCTAATGCACGGGTGTCCAACCTTGGCAACTTTAAGACCTGCCGACTTCAACTCCCCATGCTGGTTGAGGATTTCTGGCAGTTGAAGTCTGCAGGTCTTAAAATTGGACACCTCTGCAGTAGTATCTCGAATCAGTCTAGACCCAGCAGTCCGAGAACAATTTGGGCTGTTTGGAGGTGGGATAAATATTTAGGCACGAGTTATAGAGATTATAGAGGGAGAATTGGGACCAAACTCTACTATTTGCAAGATGTTGCAAGCAAAATAAAGGGGTTCATTTAGGTGGACTGGGTATTATTTAGCAGAGTCACGATAGGTATAGATGGAAACTTTATGTCCAGAAGTTTCCGAGTATGGGATCCTGGGGACAGGTAAGGGCAGAGATCCTCTCCTTGGGAGCCGGTTCAAATATCTGCTGACCTCCTGAAGCAAAGTATGCTTGAAGCAGCTCAGTGCTTGGAGGAAGAATCTTTGTAGACTCCTAGAAGTATAGTGGACCAGACTGGGAAATTGAAACAGATGCCAGATGTTGCTGCCAAGAAGTTGCATTAGTTGAAGTACCTTTTTCATGAAGGAATAGGGCTGCTTTGGATCATGTACACATTGATGCAGCAACAGAGGCTTCTGCTTTAGATTTTTTTTGGGGGGGATAGGCTTAGATTCTTAGGCCTGGTGGCAACTTGATTGAGATAAGAGAGAAGAGATGAACAAATGATCCTGAGACGTAGAGAAGCCAATGGCTTTCCCTATTTCTGCAGGCTTTACCTGGTTAATATACGTTGGATACAGGTAATTTCAGCTGTAATATAATAGTTTATCCAGCAGGTGTCGCTATGACACCATTAGACAAATGGCAGGTAAGTCATGGTCTCATCTAAGTAGTTTTAATGGAGAGGAACTGAGTTGAATCTTGGTCACATCCTCTCTTGTAAGGGAGGTCCACCTTGAGAAACCCCAATCGTGCAGGCCTAGAGTTTGAAATACGAGGAACGCCGGGGGGGAAAACCAACATTTGCAATCACGTTTTCAGGAAAAGTAAAACCTCTGGTTAAACCTGGCTCCATTGGTGACTGTGTTAGATGCAACCTGGTGGTTCCTTATCCAGTTACTAACCAGACCTGGCTCCATTTCTGGCCCCTCCCTACGGAGACTAAATATCAATCATAAAAGAAGCAATTTTGAGAGAAGACGGGCCGAGACAGACGTCTCTTGACTATCCACTGATCCAAATGGCCGGGCTAAAATCAAGCCGTCGTTTTAAAACCATGCTGACTGCATGGGCCGAAAGCCCTGTTAACCACTTAAAGAAACCTAGAACTATGTAATAGTTAATAGCCCATCTCTCTTCACGCTGCATCTTTTTTCCTTCTCTCTCCCCCCCCCCACCCTTTCCCCCCCTCCCCAACCATCAAAAACTATCTTGCATTCCTTGCAAACTATGCTGGCAACCATTCTTTGTTAATAATATTTAACTTGCTTTGGCGTCTCCTCCCGCTTAACGCTCTGCTCGGGTTAGCTGCAGACAGGCTGCGAATCTGTCAGGGGGGACTTGATGACATGTTAATAGGACAATCTGTCATATGGCAGCTCAGCAACCCAGACAGTTCTGCAGACCGTGGCAAAGGCAGGTTTTTCTTGTGGTTGCTGTTTCACTCCTTCCTGGCTTCTTTACTGATCCCCCTTCACATTGCAGAGGCTTGCGTGCGTGTCTGGAGTGGAGCCTTTCGAGTGCACGGCATCGCAACACGGGATAGGGTGCCAAACAGAGCCTCCTCTTCAATTGGGGGGGGGATTTTTTTTTTATTTATAAAGCTGTCATTGTATTTTGGCCTCCCCCCCCCCCCAGCTTCAGATAAACTCTTTGCTGCATGCAGTTGTTGGTTTAAGAACCCACAAATTAAAACCTCTCTGGGAGAGAAGTTCAAGCTATCTTCAAAATGGCCTTGACAGAATGGAAGAGTGGGCTGAAACTCCTGAAATGAAATCCTCTGAATCTGGATACTCACTGCCACCTGATTTTGGAGAGACGCTTTGCGGTTTATGGGGATCTGGGCATATAACTGGGAAGGAAGAAACAGGCTTGTTCTACTTGTAATGGACCTTCCAACAATGGTGTAGCAAGCAACCGATTCGAAGGCAACGAAATAACATCGAAGACAAACCTTTACAACGATAAAAAAAAAAAAAATGCAACTTGCTAATTAAAACCAGCCCCGTTTGTAGCAAAACACAATGAAGTGCAATCCCGGGCCTTAAAAAAAATCTTGTTGATAAAAGCAGCCAATTAACCAAAGCCTTGATAAGCAATTAAAATGTAAAAGTCTCCGTGTGCCATCTCTCTGACTAAGGAAAAAAGTTTGCAGCCGTTATCTAGGTAACACATTGCCAGTTGATTGGCAGCAGACAAGCAAAAGGTTGGTGTTTTTTTTTTCCTGTGTGTTTTCACAATAATACTCTCTTTCCCCTGCCCTTTAACAATTAAAAGTCTACAAATCTCTGACGATCTCATGCGATTCGGCCTGGCTTTTCTAAGTAAGAGCAGCACAACAAGCTTTAAAAACTCATAAATACGTGCCAGTTTTCCAAGTGCCCGGGTTTCGATTACGTGACCACGAGGACGCTGCAACGGTCGTAAGTGTGGAAAGTGGTCCTAATTCCCTTTCTTCAGTGCCATTGTAACTTTGAACGGTCACTAAACGAACGGCTGTAAGTCGAGGATTACCTGTGTATCTTTCTAGGAATGCTCTTACGTTTGCTTACTCTCTACCCGCAATGGCGCTCCATAAACTTGACGGTACGCTTTCCCTGTGGATGTGTGGATGGACTCTTACTTTGCAAGCTTTAATACAGTGGTTCTCAATCTTTTTAATGCCGCGACCCCAACCGGTCGTAAGTCGAGGACTAAACCGGTCGTAAGTCGAGGACTTTCCCTGCCCGGGAGCGCCGCGCATGCGTGGTTCCGCCCCCTGCGCCGGCCGAGGCGTAGCTGGCAAGCGGCAGAGACGGAGCAGGCCGACCACCAGCTGGCCCAGCCCAAGGGAGGTAAGGCACCCGCCGGAAAAGGGGGAAAAATGGCGGACAAAAAAAACGGCAGACCCAAAAAATGGTGGACAGCCTTGCTTGGCGACCCCCGTGAAATGGTCGATCGACCCCAAATGGGGTCCCGACCCACAGGTTGAGAACCACTGCTTTAATAGATCATTGACTTAGCTTCACCAAGAAATACGAGTTGAGTTGTTGGCTCTTAGCCTGGAAGCCTTATTACTACCTACATGCTTTAAGCTGAACGGCGATCCTCTCTCTAGCTCTGGATTGCCAGTGTGACACGGTGCTTAGGACAATAGGCTAAGATTGCAGACATCCAGGGTCAAGGGCTTGCTAGGCTGGGAAACCCACTGCGGGGGCTTTTTGCCAGCCTAGCCTACCTTACCGGTGGAGGCCTTCCGAGGATAAAACCGGAGGCGGCCTCGCCTTTTCCGATCCTTCCAAAGGTGACCTGTAAATGCAACAAGTACACCGGTGAAAGCAGGAAGCCTGTTGTCCCAACAGGCACACAATTTTGCGAGATGGAAAGGAAGAGGAACCGCAAAGGGCTAAACAAGACAGAAAGAAGCAAGAGTTCTGATTTAAATCTCTTTGGCACAGGGGGGTTAAGAGTCGGCTTCTCCTGACAGTCTCCCCTTAATAGGAATGCAAAAAGACCAGCCCCAACAGCTCTTTAGAATGTGGCCCCTCCCTCTCCATACAAATCACCCTCCCTTTCCCTCTTTCCCCCCCCCCTCACCTCTCCTCTTTTTTCACTCCCCTTCCTTTCAAGTTGATGCAAAACTCTCCCACCAAAATTGTATTTATTCACCGCCGTACAACTCCGGGGAGGTTTCTGCCAGCCTTCAGCTGCCAGGCAAGGAAGCAAGCAAGAGAGCTGGCAATTTCATATCAAGCCCAGAGAGAGAGGGCATTGGGACATTCCTCTTGGGAAAGGTGCTCTGGGGGAAAGAGAGAGAAGATTCAGGAGAAAAGTTGGTTTGGAGGGGAAAGCAATAACGGTCAGATTGTTTCTTAGGTGGCAGAAAAAATCAGGCACCCAGAAAAGAGGGATTTGAGAGGGGTTTTTTTTGCTTTAAAAAAAAATAATAATAATAGGGGAAATTGTGGACTTTTAAGATTTGGGACATGGCACATCCAGAGATGTGAAGTAAGCAACTTTGCCAAATTTCCGACGTAGAGATAGATTTGAGCAGACAGCTTTGGAAATCGGCGCGTGTGACATCGGAAAGACTAGCGGGAGCCCACTTTGGCCCCTGGCCGCTGACTCTCCAGTCCTTCCCCTTTGGCTCTGCCACTGTTCCGAAGGGGCCTCCACCGTGTTCTGCAACGTTTGACCCTCCAGCCATTTTTTTCCCCCAAAGGAGAAGAAGATGAAACGGGAAAGGCCGGTGGACTTTTTGCTCTGAGCTGGCAGTTGAGAGCTCAGGTTTTTGTTTTGAGAACCTGCTGTCAGAGGGGAGCGATTCCTCAACGTGGTTGATTTTTAGCAGGCCGTCCGAAAGACGAAACAGCGAAACGGCTGGCAATGGTTACACGTTGCTTGCGAGTGGGATTCGCTGGGGATGACTAGAAGTAAAGTGACTCTACCCAGAAAAGACAAAGACAGCACCCCAAATCTGACCCCTTTCTGATTTCCATTGTGAGAAAGTTGCTTCTCTCTTGCTTTATCCCCCGTCTTGAAGATGCTGTCCCACAAAGACAGAAGGCGACACTGGATTTGGTTTGTCCTGGCGATGCTGATCTGCCAAGAGTTCCCAAATTTCCCGCTGGTGGTGGCGGCCAAGAAAGAGCGGAAGAAACCGAAGGAGCCTAACCAATACACGGACGCTCTCAACGCAACAACTCTTTCCAACAGTGAAGAATTGAACGGACACTCCAAGGTAAGTGAGGGAACGCAGCAAAATTGGGGTGGGTGGGTTTGCTTTTTCCCACAGCCGCCTCCGTTTGATCGGGGTCTCCCAGGCGAGACAAGGGAAGGACAACTGGTTGGCATTCCCAAGGCTCTTCTAACCCTCCCAGAAAGATAGCCCCTGGTCCGCCAAATGGAGCCATGGTTTCCGCAAAGGCGTTTTCAGCAGAACCTTGGGTTTGGGATGACATTCTGAGGTCTGGTTTGATGCCATCTACTCTGGCAATATTGTTTCAGCGGGTGTTGAAAGACTGAGGTGGAACCAGGAAAGTGAGCTTCTGTTACCAAAGACAGTGTATCGGTCCTTGGCAAGAGCTCCATCCTACCCTGCTTGTAGGATTTCCCCATGATAACCCGTCGGGTTGGAAATGGTGAGAAGGGAAATGGGTCTGATCGATCCAAGCAATCTCGTCGTAACTTTTGCAGAGATCTCCTTGTAGCCCAGAAACCTGGGCAGAAGAATGGGGGGGGGGGGGAAATTATAATTTCTGTAACTCTCTCCTTTTGCCATGTTGCTGGTGATGATGGGAATTCTCCTACTGGCATGTCCACGGAGGCAGATCTCTGGGTAAGGGGGAATTCCGCCACCGCTAGCCCCCAAACACAGCTCGGTTATAGGCCAGGCTGCAATCCCAGTCCGCTGGACTACAAACTCCACGCTTCTGGGGTTGGATGGCAGAGGGAATCCAAAACATCTGACAAGGCAGCTTGAGAATGGAGGGGGGGGGGTGAAGGTTTAGAAGAAGTGGGATTAACCCAAGGTGGGAGAGGTGAAGGGGCAGGTTTATAAAGTTACAAGCCCTCAAGGTTTGTGAAAGTGTGCGGAAGTAACTTCACCATCTCATTCTGGCAGCCCCTGGCAAAAACCAAGCTGGCAATAAAATAAAATAAAATCAGGACAGGCAGAAGTGCTTATTCGCATCCAATATCTTCAGGGGCTCCCTTCCGTTCGTGCGAACGACGTTTTCTTCATCCCATTTGTTTGCACCATGCTTACCTAAGCTACACAGTGGGATCCCCCAAATTTTCTGGGAGCCTGCAGTGAAAGGAACCTAAAACAAACTAGCGGCAGTCAGCAGAGAGAAACAATTAGCCAACATGTCAGGTGCTAAGCCTGACTGGGAAGAGGGTCCTCCAATTGACTCACCCACGATGGAAATTATCCCCTCAACTGCAGAAAAAAAATTACCTAAGACCAGCGTGAAGGAACATGTGGTGGGCTGAGGGGGATGGAAGCAGGAGAAGAAAATAAATAAAGCACTTGCAGGATTCAACCGTGCCTCTAAAAGTTCCAATTCTTCCTAAAAAGGAAGCAGCTGGAGGCCCTCAAAGGAAGATGCCTATTATTATTTTATTTCCATTCCTATATTCCAACTTTCCAAGGCGACTTAATGTGTTTAAATAAGAACAAAATTTACATTAAACGTAGACAAAAAAAAACAAACCCTAACAGTTTAAATAGAGTCTTAAGAGTTGGATCTGTCTGGTGATGGATTGCTAAATGCTACGTGCATCCATGGTGAGGTGCATTCTATCTCCAAAGGGCAAGCAATGAGGACAAACTCACATTTGGGAGCAGGAGGTTAAGATTTGAAAGGATTTTCCCCCTTCCCCTTGTCAAATAGTTTCCTATTCCTGAAAGTTGGTAGCAGTGAGGAGCATTTTATAAAAGCATTTTTTTATAAAAGAGGATCTAACAACAGGAGAAAGTTCCCCCACCCCATTCGGGATCTCTTAGACTTCTGTTGCCACTGTGAATGATGAACTGGCCTTGAATTGCAAACATTAATCCTGCAGTTAAGACCAAAAAAGGCAAATGGAGGCTTTCTGGATGATTTTGCACAAATCACCAAGGGTTTTTGATTTATCATCCCACGGCACAGGCTACATTTAGCCTGTTGAAGCTCTGGAAGAACCCATCCACGTTCAAAGATGCATCAAAGAGGTCTTGTTTTGTTGACTGGACTCTTCTTCTGAGCCAGCCAGACTGACTGTCAGCAGAAAG